CATGGTGGACATTGTAGGTGCAGCAATGCCATGGGAGATACACCTTGACTTGCAATTACAATTAAGGATCTTTATACATTGTTACGCAAGGGATTTAGTGCTCGGTCAAACGTCGGTCTCTATCTAGTGACAAGTGATTTTCAGTGGTGCGTTCTAAGTTGGACGTGGACGCTTCACTCGGATGCTTGAGTAAAACTTTTCAAGGCGTGTAATATTGGTGTTCCTTTCATTACGCATTGATTCTTCCTTGGGAAAAAGTTTCCGGAGAACAAGGTCCCCGAGAAAGAGAGTTCAGAACAGCATTCGTACGACTCCAAACTAGCAAAGGGTCCAGTCTAGTAAAAACCCGTTCAAACAGATGGACGACCTAATTTTGAAAACTAAAAAAATTATACACATAAATGATAGCTTTAAAACAAGAAATAGAAAATAAAAACCCAACTTTGGATAGTCTAACCGATCAAAATTGATAGTTGGATTGACCAAAATTGGTCAAATATTGATTCTCAGTTTTTTGCTTTAAAGTTATACTCGCCATTGCACATGTTCGTAATTCAACTCAACAGACCAGCAGTCCAATCCGGTCCGGTCCAATCTTAATAAAGACCAGCAGTCCAATCCAATCTTAATAATTATTGTTCAGAGCAGGATAGCAATTAGCCTTAACTAAATTAGCCAATAAAAGGTTCCATTATGCGCTGGAGAGATGGCGGCCAAACCAACTAACAAAATACCCACCTCTTTGACCCATTTTTTATTAAATTTTCAATATTCATTCCTGTTTTTTTTGGGTCAAATAAGGACGATCTGAATTGTAAAGAGTTTCCATTTTAAAATCACCAGTTGTCACCCGTTGGGAACTAAAATTCCAAAAAGATCCCCAAATCGAACTAACTTATCCAAAAAAGATCTCCTAATGCACACTAACACATAATCCAGCAGTATATATCGGGCGCCATGTTTATTTAACACGTCTGAAGTTAAAGCCCAACGTCTCTCTCTGTTAGCAGAAAATAATGTCCATGAAAAGGCACCACCACCACCAACCTCCATCAGTCTCCACCCATTGCTCCACTTTCAAGTGCTTCCTGGGATCCTTTCAACCCAAACCTACCTCCAAAATCCATTCATCTCCCTCCAAAAGCCATTCTACACCCCCTCAAATCCACCCTCGCAAGACCCGCTCATCACCCTCTAAAACCAAACTCTTCCCCCCTCGATACCACTCTCTGAAAACCCACTTGTCACCTTCAAATACCCACTTATTGTCCCATCAAAACCACTCTCTAAAAGCTTGTTTGACTTCGAGAAATAATATACCACCCCATCAAAACCACCCTTTAAGGACCCACTCATCACCCTCAAAGGACCGGTTATTGCCCTCTCGAAACCACTCGACAAGAGACCACCAAACCCCAAAACCAGGTTCCCATATTAGGTACAAAAACACAGCAATGCTAGCCTACCTGAAAAGGATAGAGCAGCTTGAAATTGAACTCCAAAACCTTGACAAGTGGTTAGAGGCCGAGAAAGACCTGACAAACTCACTAGCAAGGCGGCCCCCACCACTTGGGCTAACAAATCTGAGAGGTGCAGGTCTCAGAACCACCAATTATGCATGCCAAAACCAACTTGACCAATTTCCAAATTTTATCTGAAATCGGTGGTTTTCTCCTCAAGACAATGCCTATTGAAGAGATAACCGGAGTCAAAGAGATAGACAGGTTTTCGCAATGGCTGTTTCCGAGATGGAAACAGCTGTTTTGGAGGGTCTAGGGGTCGAAATGGGACAAAAGGTGGGCTCTGATCTTGAAATGGACAATGATCAGCAAATACGGGATCCATGTAGAATCAATCTAGTGGTGGTGATTCAGTTGTGGGACCCACTTGATAGGTACAAAGTGGTTGGAGGGCCCATGGTTGGGTTCGTAAAGGTTTATGGCAATAAAGCAAGCGGATTTGAAATTAGAAACGTTTATGTTGCAGCAACAAAACCACCTGTCAGAAGGGGCAATCAGTGGTTTTGTGAAAAGCATGGAGGATGTTTTGATAGGGAGAGTCTAGAGACAGGTATGGTGCGTAAAATGGGATATAGGGGTAGTTTTATTTGGAGTGTCTGATTAAGAAGCAGTAAGCAGTTTTAGAGAAACCCGGGTTCAGAAAATGTTGGGAATTTAGATATTAGAGTGCTTCTCATGCACATGTTTAATGTACATAGTCCAATAAAAGCTTCATGCCAATGCATGTGTTCTTTTTTATTTAGTTTTGTCTGCAAATCTTTTCTTCATGCTTGAGATTGGAGTGACAAGATTTCAATCAAAAGAAAATGTTGGCTTTGATCCAAATTCTAGTTGCATCTATAAAATCTGAAATGCACACTGGGAAGAAAGATATTTCCCAACATTAGCATGTATTGTCCTGATTTTCCTTCGCTACACGGCCATGTATGAAAGAAAAAGCAGCTTAATATTAATAGCAAGAGTGTATTCAGCTACATAACCTTCTGTCCTAACATTTAGTAGTTGTAGTTAGTATACATACATGAAATATGCAGGAAGTTGCGGCTTCCAGCTTCATAACCAGGATCATGTGGCTCTAGCTAACACATTGGGGGAAAACGTGACACATCATCAAGAATTATCCCGGATGTCGAGATTTGAAACGCAGGAAAAATAACTGTTAAGATCAAGAATATCAGAGAAGAAAGATGAGAAAGAAATTAGAGACCCGGTACTCATAAAGATGTATGAAGACATGTATATAGAAACACGAGGAATGGCCTTAAGTATCAATGCAACCAAGCAAACATTTCAGGCTAATTGAACTTGGCATATAAGAACAAAGAGACGATCAGTTACTGAACTTAACCTGGAATTAACTAAACCTAGCATGACAAGAAAGATAAAGCGTGCACAAATGTGAGGAAAGGGAGCTGAGTCTCCAAGCCAACATGCCTAAATCTTGTAAGCAAATTTCAGTCATTTAGTTCAGTTGGGAATTGCAAAATTTTCATGGCTATGGAATTGCACATGAATATTTTATTTCATGCTACTATTAACTGAAGCCTCGTCTCTCAATGGATAAAACAGCCTGCAGGTTCTTTGTGGCTCCACAAAAACCAGATCATTACCCAATTTTTCTATATTTTGTTTTATGTAATTTTTTCCTTTTTTTGTAAATATGAAATTACCTTTGAGAAGTACGTTATCAGTGGCATACAAGGTGATCAAATAGAAAGAAAGCATTCCACAATGTCACTATTATACAACTCCTTGACAATATTCAATAGTCTTCTATGGTCTTCCATGAGACACTTTTCGATGCTATATTATAAACTAAGGGCATAAGAGTATCAAATATGAATTGCGGAAATGGGCAAAGGTGTCCAAGTCAATTTCTCCCACCGGTTCAATATTGTGGGCCTGCAAAGTGCCTGCTTTCCCATGCTGATCAGAGGAGCAGTGATCACTTAGAGTTTCTCAAGGAGTCATAGCCTTCCCAGTCAATGGAACAGCTCTAACCCACCATGTGGGATCAAGCAAACATGAGAATAATGACCAGGTCATACTCAAGCAACTAATCTCATATATAGAAATAGTAACAAGAGTGAGCATGGGAGCTGCAAAGGTACTGGTCAAGTCCTAATCATTCCCAACTAGAGACAGAGTGGTAAAGAAGCTTGCTGAAGGGGGGACAATCTCCCATTTTCATGAAACCTTTACATATGCATAAATTCTCCTTTGTTGATATATCACATGGACAACAGGATGTATTTTTTCTCTTCTCATTTTAATGCGAGGCTTTCCAGGAAAAAAAATTAACAGGTCTCTTATTTTATTGTGGGTAATAATAAGAATTCTGGCAGAAATTTAAAATAAAACATCAAAAGCACATCCATAAGACCAAGAAATTGTTTCTCAAAACTTTAAAACTTCATGCAGAAATGAGAACAGACAGATATTCAGAATTAAATAATAGAATAAAAAAAGAAGAACAACCAAATACAAAAAAGGGCACTTCAAAAGAAAAAAAGTAGACAGCACTAAAAGTCACAGTAGAAATACCTTCGGACCATCGCTGTACACACAGCTCCAATGCGTAGCTTTACAACTGTTCCCCAGGGATCCTAACGCCCCTGCAGCAAATTTTAGAAAACCAAATATATGACGTCGATTACACAGTTCTTATATATAAAGTCTCATAAAGGGAATGGTCATATCAAACTTGTGTGAACAGAGTTAGGTAATTTATGTGACAAACCTCAGGCCTAAACTGACCCTTTTTACCTCGAAGTGGTCTTTATCTATCTCCATTGACAACTTTCTCAAAGAAGTCCGATCCAAATCCCCCTGCTTCTTTCTTCCATGAGATGCAGACCTATCCTGCAAAACAGATATATGAATGAAACCAAACAGTTGTGGGGTATAAACTAAACTTATGAGAGACAAAGACGGGTATAAAAATATTCTTTTTTATATAAACAACATTCATCAATACAAAGCGAAAGTCCACCAAGCAGGTTTAAGAACAGCACAAATCCAACAGAAAGGGATGCTGATGCAGGGAAAACAGAGAGACACATTCAACATTTTTCTTTGGGATCTTTAAAGTCTCTGTAGAACCTTCCTATCACTGAGGGATAGAGTCCCTGGTGTGCTGCCATCAAAGTTTTGACAACTGAATAATGGGTTTTGACTTTTGAGTTCATCACTTCATCAAGCACCATCACTCCAAGAACCATATCAACCTTCATTCCCTTTAAGCATAACAAGGATATTAGGCACCGAGATACAGTTCCAGCATTAACCTATCATTTTCATAGTTCTAGCTGGACCAGACAGGTTCCATCTAACAGAACTGGCAGCCAATTTAAGAACACAAGACCACGATTTTTGATAACTAGAGGTTGAAACTGATCCAATTCATTGGGTCACGCCCATAACCAAAAAAAATACAAAGCTTCCAATCAAGCAAGAAATCTAATCAAGCAAGAAACAATGCTTCATTGGAAGCACAGATGTTACCAGATGGACTGGTTGAGCCACAAAACAGGAACTTCGAACAACTTAGAGAACAGAAAATTTTTTATATATCCAACCTAAGATCAACACATAAGATCCATCTCTATACATTGGAACAGACAACAATTCCGTAAAAGAGTAACATATATTTTAGGCGTGCAATAAAGTGCCATAATACTTTTGAAGCAATAGACAAAGGAGGGCATCAGAGTTGCACCATCTTTAGTGTATTAAAATGCACACTAAGAAATATGTATATAGTTTAGTACCATTTCAGAATGGCTGTACGATGACAAAGCAATAAGTTACAGGCAGCAATGAACTACTTTCTACATATCAAACTAGAGATCCATCACCACCACAATTATACTGTAGTGTTGATAGTTTGATCTAGCAAATGCAGTTATTACATGGCTACATTTAGTACAGAATACCATGGACAACTTTATAATTGATCTCAAAAACAGATACATTTGACTCAGCTCAAGTGCTTTTTGTGCCAATTAACAATAGAGACAGACTACAAGAACCCTACAATAATGCCACCACACATAATTGCAATTAAGAAAAATAAATACAATAAAACAAGGTGAGAAGATATTCATTAGATACCTCAACTGGAGTCGAAAGAATCGCTTCCCGGTCCACATCTAGATGACCCATCAGTCTCCTAAGAAAACAATTCCGTAAATGTGAGAAAAAGCAACTGACTTCTAAATGAAACAGACGGGGATCATATACGAAGGCCCCTAGAGAGAATATTTTTGCTATACCCATAATCCATAGGGATGTTGAACAAGGAAGATTGGCCAATCTCCTAGAAAGTCGATTGTCCATGTCATGGCATACTTGTCAAATACAGATAACAACAAACGAAAAAAGAAAGAAAGAAGGTGGTGCTTAGAGATACCTCGGATTTTCAGACTTTGAAAGATGTTTGGACATTATAGAAGCCTGCAGTCAAATAAGTTTTTGAGATTTGCATGGGGAAATTGCTCAGATGTGTGAGTCTATTGTGCATTTATGGTTGTCTAACATATTAGCCAAATGCATCCATTTCCGAGTGAAAAAATGGAGATATCACTTGGATACCTAATCCATACGGAACATGAATAAAATCAATAAGATCATTTATAAAATTAGAGAAGTTTTGTTCGGCGAGTGTGCCATGGTTCAAACCAGTGTTTTAAAAATCGGTAACCCGATCCGTAATCGGGTGATCCGAATCGGGTATCGCCCAGCCCGTCCCGTTTAGAAAAGGGGATTCGGACGATTCTCTACCTACAGTCCATTGATGATGTCATGAGTCACCAAGTGATGTCATGGATCGTCGGATCTGACTTGTCAGTAACGTTGGATCTAACTCTTCACTAATGTTTTTCTATTAAAAATTTGAATTGCATGCCCCACCTGGCCCATGAATTAAACCCTCAATGTAATGTTTTTCTATTAAAAAATTGAATTGCATGCCCCACCTGGCCCATGAATTAAACCCTCAACTGCTTATGTCAGCGTGGATGATGCCCACTTACACATGGCCCTGCAACACCAATACTTAATGTTCTGGATTGATTCGATTCTTTTATACGACCTTTTCTTCCCACATCCCTTCGATATGGGACAATTCTCTAATACACTTTTGCATTCTAAAAAACTTCATACCCAATAGTAAACAAATTTGAGTGAGAGATGACTTACCTGGGTGTCCCATTAGGTGGGGATGGGAGCGTAAAAAAGCGTGTATGCCCGATGGTGGCAATTAAATTATACGGTGAAAAAAAGGAAAAACATTATTAAAAATAAAAATTGGGTGCCCACCACACCTATATTTCACAAAAAAAAATTAAATTTACTTACCCAAAAAAAACATAAAACTGTATTAGGATATCATCGCATGGAATTATTTCATTACATGATTAATAATTAATTAATCAGTTAATTGGGATTAAAAAAGTAGTAATAGCTCACAGAATATTAAAAAAGTTAAAAATAATACTAATACCAGTTTATTGAATATTAAAAAAAATATTAGTTTAGAAGATATTTTAGGAGAAAAAAATAACACTAACTCATACCACTTTAGAATTTATTTCAAGTTGCTTTATCAATAATCCCACATTGCAAATATGAATTTCTTTAATTAATTAATAACCAAATCTTGTATTTTATTTATTAATTTATTTCTACTATAAATTTTGTAATATATTATTTTTTCTTATAATTGTAAATAAGATTTGTTAAATTAGATAATATTAAAAGACATTTTATATCTTTATTTGTATAGTAAAATAATTATAAAATATAAAGTTATAAACCAACAACTTCAATTTCAATATATATTATTATAGTTAGTAAGGTTGTAATAATTTTGGATGAATAAAATGAATAATAAATGTTTGATACTTTGATGTGACACTAATTTATGTGGGAAACTAATTTTTTTAATTTTATAATATGGAAGTGTTTTCTAATATTTTTAAATTGTTTTGATATAATATTATAATACTATCTTACAATTAACAATTATACAAACATCCAGACAGGAAAACATCTCAGTATGCACCTATTTTTACAAAATATTGAAAATAATGAAAGTACGTAATGCATCGCTCCTAATTTCTTTTAGAAACTAAAAAAACACTATTTTTAGAGATTTATAGTAATTTTTTGAAAAAAAACTTAAGAGAGAAAAAAAGGAGAAAATTTATTAAAAATAATTATTGGTTGATGGGGCCCACCACCCCTATCCTACATCAAAAAAATTTAAATTTACTTATCCAAAAAAAAAAAGACTAATACTATTAGGCTATTAGCTAAATGAGATTTAAAAAATTAGTACTAGCTCATAGGATAAAAAGAACAAAAATAATACTAATACGGGTTTATTGAACATTAAAAAAAAATATTAGTCTATGGGATATTTTAAGAGAAAAAAATAACACTAGCTCATACCACTTTAGAATTTATTTCAAGCTGCTTTATCAATTATCCCCACATTGCAAATATGAATTTCTTTATTTATATTCCCAATTTTATTAAAATATGATTGCAAATTTATGTTACTAAATTCTATATTTCTATCAACACTAATTATTATACATTAAATTTATTTGTGAGGGTCATACCTTTGTTTTTTTAATCACATTTATTATAATATTGTAATTAATACTTATACTAATTATAATGATAATCAAATCTTATATTTTATTTCTTAATTTATTTACAGTATAAATAATGCAATGTATTATTTTTTATGATAGATGTAGATTAGATTTTTAAATTAGATGATATTATAAGATAAATTTCAAATTTATTCTTATTTGTATAGTAAAATGATGATAAAATAATAAATACAAACCAATAATTCTAATTTCAATGTATAATATTGTATTTAGTTAGGTTTTAATAAATGTCATGCATCTCAATATTCGCTTGTTGATGCAAAGAAATAAAAGTTATTAATGTAGTACCCCCATTTCTTATTGGATTCCTAAAAAAAACATTTATAATGATTTTTGAAAAAACATTTAAAGGCCAAATCCAACCAATTCGGCCGATTCCTAATCCGAAACGCCAATTCACCGATCCGGATGGGTTTTTGGGGTGTCCGATCCGGGGCACCGGTCCTTTTTTTAAACCACTGGTTCAAACTATTGAACTTGAAAGTGAGACGCTTCCTAGAGGACGTTTAAAATGCAAAGCTTCATTTACATATTTACAAGAAGGAACCACAAAACCTGCTCTTGAATGATACTCCGAGCTTCAACTAGTTGGGCTTCAAGCTCAAGCTCCCGCTCACTAGCTTCAGAAGTGACTTCTGCCCCTTTTTGTGCTTCCTGAAGTTGTACCATTCGCTCCTTTCTTGCAAGAGAACACAAAGTCAAAATCATGAAACATAAAAATTATTTATACTAGAATTTCTTTCCAAAACAAAAATCCAGTCTCAAAATTTTGTCATGGATCCAATTTATATTCTGCACCTTTATGGATGCCATTTTATTCCGTAGGCTCTCCTCAATTTGATCTCTGGCCATATGGAAAGGAAGATCGAAGACATCCTGCGAGAATTGCATCATTTACAAAATCTTCCAGATCAAATACAGCTTCACAGAGGCATACACCAATACGGTAGAAGGTTTGTTTCTTGACCAATAATAAGGTAAACAGATTGTTCACTGATATCTAGTGTTAAAGGAACAAGGCTATACCGTACGTCCTCCTAAAGGAGTTGGTGGGGGATCAGAATCAACTCTTCCATTAACAGCTGAATTTTGTTTCGGCAGTCCGTTTGGCATATTTAAAAAATCCCTCATGTCCCCCTGAAGCAGAAAAACCACGTTCAATGCATAGGAAAAAAAACTCACTTTGAGGAGATGTCCAGACCTTTGCTAATGTAAAAAGAAGCAATAATGATTTAACTCAAACTGAATACAAAACCACCGGAAGTAAGATGCATAATCAAGAAAAAAACTAGAAGAGAAAAGAAAACAACCAAAAAGCACAAGGTAACTGATAGGTTGACTTTGTCAACTAATAGGCGTCTCCAAAGTCTCGGTTACCTTAGGAGAAAGGTCTATAGAGTTTCTCAAAAGATTCTATAGTACTAGGTTAGGTTACCTAGGTGTGAACTTAGCTATCAAAACAAAAAAAGTAAAAAGGGGGAAAGTAGCGACAAGTATGTATGGAAAACAACGAGGTGGGAAACATAAGCCAAAAAAAGAGCTCTGAGCCAAAAGAACGAGCACGGGCAAGAGACGAAGTCAGGAAGATTACTGTATATGAGCGGCTACCCAGTCAGGATATAAATAGTAATATACCACCAAGTGCGAAAGGAACTAAAGGATGTTTCAGGCTACATACTCAACTCATTCTATCTTGATCAATCAAAGCCACCAAAATCTCATAGATTCTCAGCCACAGAGTTTCAATCCTATTTGTCATCATACTTGACTTCACAATGAAAAAACATTATCAGATTGTGGCCAAGAAAAATCCCATGATTGTCCCTGAAACAACCACCTGAACATGGCAATGTGTCATCATTAATTAAACTTTGATGGTCACTCTAGAGGCAATCAGGGACCAGCTGGCATCAGAGGGATTTTCAGAATTAACAATAGATCCATCATCCTCGCATACTCTGGGCAACCAGGTAAAGACCATGCCACCCTCACCAAAAGAAAAGCTCCGTTGAAAGGCTTCCAAGTGTTTGACAGGAGCTGGGACCCCAAAAACATTATGGAGTGGGCAAAGAATCATCCCTAATTCCTTGGGGACTTGAACAAATATTCAACCAAATCGTCAGACTAACGTGTGGACTAGAGGTAGCCTTACACACACCTGGAGCAAAGCAAACAATGTTCATAACAACCTCAAAGCTGAGGGTTTGACCAAATCCAACACCTCACGATTCCCCCATCTAACTCGCAACATATCAGAGATTTTATGTTGTGGCGTTTCTCCCCATCATCCAAGTCTTTAGCATATGACACATGGAGTGTTGCATGCATTTTCAATATTCTGATAACTTCTAGTTCCAATTGCAATTGTACAAATTCTCAACACCAAGTCGTACAAACTTTGTTCACATCACCACAAAAAATTGACCATTAAAAAGGGAAAAACATATCCAGTACCTTTTATAATTTCACTAAATCAAAAATCAATGGAGGACACAACACCAAAAAACTCTTTTCAGTTTATGGGCTTCCTTAGCTCATCACATCAAAAGACTGCTATGAGCACACCATTTCTTTGTAATGCAATAGAAATCAGCCAACCTTTCCAATTTAACTAGAATCAATTATGATTCCGATCCACAGCTATGCTAACATTTTAGGGGATGTCTCACCATGACTGTCTTGAAAATTGTTGCATAAGACATGCAAGGCCTGCATGTCAGCAACCAAGACATTGTCCACAATCCATACATATGTTCATGATTCAGACATGCATTTACATAATCTTGGACGCACATAGGTTGCGTATCCATGCATTGGACACCCTTATCTAATTTATAATTAAATGATATTCTTGATAGAGCAATTAATTCATTTTATATGCAGACAGGCAAGCACGCATATATAGATGAACCAACACCTCAGGAGCATACAAATATGTATGGACATGACATGCCTGCAATAGAATTTCTTTTAACTTTGTTAAGGAGCCATGTTGGGACAAAGTGTTTCCATGTTGTTGATCGTGACGTGTGTTGATGTATCCAAACCACATCATGCACAAATCCACATGCATTACCATCCTAAGATGTAGCAGCAGGGGAGGTGGTGCCAGGTATATATAGTAGAGTTTAAGTTTTTTTAAAATAGAGTTACTGGTTACACAGGCAGAGAAAGAAACAAAAATAATGCAATCAGTAATGCATAAGTGCACATAAAAGCAGTAATAATAAGGAAAGAGATAAAATTATAAAATGATGAAATAAAAATCTCATTATCAAAAATTTAATATATGTATTCCACATTGGAAATTGTTGATCGGTTAATACATATCATGCTGAAAGACTTATACCAAGGTTTAAAAAAAAAAAGGATTGGTGACCGGGATCAGCCAGCCCGAAAACCGTGTCAGATTGATGAATTGGCGATCCAGATAGGAGAAACACCTGGCTTCGGCCTAAAAAAAATTCAAAAAAACACTATAATTTCTCAAAAATCTAGTTTTTTTGGTTTCCAAAAGAAATAGTGGCAATTGCATTATGAATTTTCATTATTGTGTCAAAAATATGTAAATACTGAGAACCTATCACATGTTGAGTGTTTGTCACTTATTGAATTTATTTTATAATTAAAATAATATTTAAAATGCAACATGACAATAAAATGATTCTCTCTAACTCAATTTATTTATTTTATTATTGTATTAACTTAGGAGTTTTGATTTTTGAAAGAAGCTAAATGAAACAAATTTAATAGAAGAACTTACTAGTAGAGAGAGAGAATTTTAGTGAAATTATTTGTTTGTACTACTTAGTAGAGAGAGAGATAAAATTTTAGTGGAATTATTAATAGAACAAACTTTGTAAAGAGAGAGCGGTTGTTAGTAGAGAGAGAGTGAGAGAGAGCTTGTTAGTATAGAGAGAGACACCCAGGCCGGGAGGGGGGAGAGAGAGAGAATTAGGAAGGGCTGCTGTTAGCTTGACTCGCTTGGCGAGGTAATATTTTATTTGGACAGTATTGTATTGGTGGATGAAACTCCTAACCAAAATTCTGTACTAGACTTGATGAGGAATCAAATAATGTTTTGACTACAGACAAAAGATTTCAGGTGCTGAAGGTGAACGCCTCAAAGAGGGAACCAACATCAACAAATCACTTTCCACATTGGCGTCCTTGCATTGTGAAAGTTTGTATTAGAGACCACAACTTGTAAAGAGAAAAGTCGGACTTATTATCCCACATCAAAGAGGTAAAGGAGGGATAGCTTGTATAAAAGCCGCATGCTCCAACTCTCAAGCATGTACTTTAGCACATGCTCTTTGGCTATGCGTGCTTGTTTGAGAGTTGTTTGGGCCCATTACTACGGGTTTGTTTGCAAGATTTTGAGAAATATATTAAGTGCATCACCACCCATCATTTTCAAATATATTTTTATTTGTGTACTTAAAAATAAAAAATTAATTAAATTGCTTTTATGCAAGAACAGGTCAGAACCAGATAGAGCCGGCCAGTTCTAATCAGAGAACCAGTACGGACCGGACTGGACCGGTCGGTTCAGAGGGGGACACGGCTAGATCCCGATATATTACGGGATCCAGAACAGTAAGGGTGATTCCTAATCCGAAATCAGGCAATTCAGGATTGGATCACCGAAGTTTTAAACACTGACTTATACAATGAACTTTCAACTTCATGCGGTTGTATAACCTGCCTAAACTGCCTACAGGAAATAATTTTTTTGGGACTACCAGAAAGATCCAAAACACAATGATATTGTATACCTTCAATTTCAAATCTGTAAAACAAACCTGCATTGAACGTAACAATGCTCGCAGATCAGCATTCTCAGCCATCAGCTCCTGCTTCTTAACCTCATATGCATCTACCTATCAGCCACACAAAAGCATTAACTACTAGTTGGTGGATTTGATGATGAAGCAACATCTTACTTATCATCCTTCTTACAATCATTTTATAAAAATCACCATCAGCCTTCTTCCCGTTCCATGTCCCGCGCTGACGGCCCTCTTTCTGTTCACATATACAGAGGTATGCAGTCAGATAATGTGCTCACCTCCTGCTACAGATAAGTTGAACAAAAATGTTGTTAATGATAGTACCTGAAGTAGATTCATGATCTCCATGCCTGATCTGGATTCTTTCTTTTTTTCCATCAAAACTTGGTTTAGTCTTTCCTGCAAAAGGGGGGAAACACATGTCATACTTTCTAATGCCAATCATAGGCATCATAATATATAGCTTTATTCTCCTTGCTCATGCTTTCTTTTGAGAATGTTAACAGCCATTAATGGCCCAGGATGATCAAAGAATAACAATCACACCTGCAATTTGATATACTCTTTCTCCTTTTTCTTCATTTCATGTACTTGTTGAGTCCGAACTTGCTGTGTGCAACGAAACAAACAAATCAAAATAGAGATGGATAAGACCATCATGAGCTAGGACATAGCAACACGCATTGGCAAAAGGAAATTGCTACACCAGTAGATGACCACAGAATAGAAAATCAGCACCTGATTGCCAATAACCATCCTTTGAAATTCATCCCGCTCTTGCTGCAGCTTGTCAATTTGAGCCTTGAATGATGCAGCAGCTTTAGCCTCCTGCTCATGTAAAACTTGTGGTAAGAAACAAGCAAATGCTCCTGGAAGATGCTTAGACAAGGAAGCTTAAGAATTTGTTTACAGTTGAAAGGACATTCTACATCTGGTATGTACTCTACTACTATGTGAAAAAAAAACACGAGTTTGATAAACAATTCATTTCCAAAATGGTTCAAATCATAGAACTGAGGTGATAGGATATGCATGAAATGGCACATGATGTAGAATAACAAAATAAGAGTAGAGATTCACATATCTATTCTACATATTAAGCCAGAGATGGGGGCAAGACACATGGCATTCAATAAGATGAGGACCCTATAACAAGAGAGGGCCTGCGGTAGGAGACCTAAGAGAGACAGGGTCTAGAGAGGACCACTTTAGCTTAGGATCACTAATTTTAAGGGACAAGGAACTAGTCAAATAATCAAAACAACACAAGACAAAGATCAACCATTCCAACCACATTAACTTTCTAGAGAGTAAAAGTAAGAGGAGAATAAAAAAATCCCAACACTATTTTCTAATTTTCAAATAAATTACAAGCCTGAAGTTTTAGAATTAAAAGAACCTGGCGAGTTAAAGAAGCTAACTCTCGATCCTTTGATGCCAACTGTGCCTCGAGTCTTTCAGCCTTAGCCTCCAATCTTGATATATCAGACAGCAATCTATAGATCGAAAAAATAGTCTTTTGTCTTAACAAACCAATAGATTTAGAATAAACTTGCCATGATAAGATAAGATAAAGCCCATTAACAATTCCCTTAGCGACAAATGTTCTAATAGGAAGCTGTCGCCCATTGTAGACACAAGTTCATCAACTAACGCAAGGAAGAGTCCATAATCCAAAGTACCAAGAACCATCACAACAATAAGGGATATGACCAGATACAGCAAAACCTATCAAAAGAGATCCTGTCAAAATAGATATCCTCTCAAATCCAGCGCAAATATTTTCGACCGTATCGATCCTAAACAAAACTGACCTCCAAAAATCGATACTAAAATTATGTGTGTATGTGAGTGTACAGGGCAGACGTAATGTGCACATATAAAATTTTCCTTCTAATATGACCCACCATTTTATGTTCTTTTTCTTTATCTAACTAGTGGAGTGATGAACTCCCATGCTTAACACTAAAACTAGGATTTAAAACGACAGAATTTACATTAACAGAGAATGGGCAATAGGCAGAGGTGTTCAAGTTGGCAGGTGCAACAACATGATTTCTACAATTCCATTTACAAAAGGCCGCAAGTTAACATTCAAAACAGTGGTAGAATTGACCAAAACAACAACAACGTCATTAACAAAAGAAATAATAATAATAATAATAATCTACATTAACAAAATAACAAAGAAAGTAATATGACTCATAATTTATGTCCAAGAATCAAATACACGCAACGGTATTATCCGCATGATAAATACAAGTTGGTAAAAATCAGTTCAATATTCAAGCATACGCTGACATAACAAAGCATCTATGTATTTCAAAAACTTAACAGGAAGCCAACAAAACTATCCACTGTGTTTCTTTAGAACAAATTGTTGTCCAAATTATGCTTCAGTCTGCCCATACCTCCATTATACTGAACCATCTGGAGTTCTGGACTTTGTCCTTGAACACAAATGCTTTGCAATCAAGTTATTTCAGTCATATAAGCTATTCTTCGAGACGAGGTTCACATATTGCATCATCGTCATTGGATACAATGCTTGAAAAAGAACACAAAATAGGTGGTAATACCCATAACATGAGTTACAACAAATTGGCAATGGATGAACACAAATATTCTTCTTAGCAACACTCATAAATCAATATGGGATGGATGTTCAACTATAATTAAAATTTTCCAGTGAAAACCAAAAAAATTTTACAACTCATCCATCTCACCGTTGCCTCTGTTCATTGGATGACTCACGAAAATCAATGTCTCGCTTCCGCTGCTGGAGCAACGCATATATGCAGTTACAGGTGCGTGCAATGGAAACCTATAAAATGATAAATTAAATGAAAACACAGTTGAGAGAATACAAGGATCCCATAAAGTAAATTAATCATACTTCATAAATTCGACTAAATAAACTTATACCACCAGACACACCATAAAACTGAAATAAGATAAAAAAATAAAACTAATACTAAGACTCAGAGATTACCACCAAATCTTCTTACATTGTATCAAAATTTCAATGGGAACAGAATAGGGTTTAATGCTGGAACCATTCGTAACATGGAATTGGAACAAACTGAGGGGCCTGGAATACAGTTTTTACGGAACTTCCTGACTTTTGAAACATCATCAGAGACCCCAAAAATTGGACATTGCACTTTTGACCGAGGTAGAGCTTTTACTGATATAAAATGCAGAAACATGCTATGAAGCCCTAAACCGCAGGCATTGTATTTCCAACTGAGCTAAGAAATGTGTTAAAAAACCCTAACCAGTGATACTCAGTTTCAAGTTAACTGAACAAAGGGATAAGAAGCCAACCGGATCATTAGCAAACAAATCAAGAGAAGCAGGAAAACCAAAGGTGACCAGAGTCTGGTTCAGATACTTCGTGCAATGCTCCAAATTGTTAGCATCGGCAAATGCGAACTCCCTAAAGAATAGAAATAAAAAAAATAAGTGAGAAAAACAAGACTCCCTTGAAGATCTGCAAATGCATTTTCACAAACATGAGAAGCCATGAAAATTACCCTATCCCAAACCCAGAGTGATTAGAAACCTGCATTCATCAGAGATAAAGACATAAAATAGGTCAAATCACCATTAAAATGGAAACCAAGAGAAGCTTTACTATAAATGAGTAAACACATACCCCAATACTGAGCTCTGGGTCCATTGCAGCCATGGGGAAAGAAAATGGCGATCAAATTTAGGGTTTTAGAGAGAATAAGTTCTTTTCTTTTGAATGAAATTGCCTGGATCTGCAAAAGCTCATGAGTTTATGAGAAAGAGTTTACGAGAAAAAGAGAGCTCAAAGCGCTGGGAAATTGAAACCTCTCAACATGTTTACTGTGTATTTATAGAGAAAAACCGGGAAAATTAACTTCGTAAATTCAAAAAATATACATGTAACAAAGCTAAAAACAGATCGAATAGTGCAAATTACTCAATTTTGAAATTTTTTATATTTCCAACCCAAAAATAAACATTACCGATTTCTAGTTTTTCCACGCCCTTTCTGGGTACTAAATTTAAAATTATGGTTTCGAACAGCAGATCCTCTTTCAATGTCGAGTGAGTGTACGGACGAGTGGGGCCACAGAGAAGGGCAGGCGCGGTTCTTGGCGCGCTTACTAATCACCGTTGGAAAAGACGGACACCGAAAACCGAAAAGTTTCGAAATTTCGTAGCCTCCTAATGGCCGAAATGTTGAATATTTTCGGTTTCAATTGATTATCCACCCTCCTTTGGCTTTTGATTTTGGATCATGTTTATTTTAAGTTAAATATCTCGATACTTCATACTTTTAGGTTTCATTTCACGATATATCTAAGGTTTTAAAAGATATCTTAAATTATTTTAAACATGATTTTTTTAGGCCAAATAAATTTAAAAACACAAACATTTTTTAAAAGTCATCTTCTCAAATTTTTTTCTTTTCTCTCTCCTCCAATTTTTATCTTTTTCTATATTTCCTATCTCTAATCCTCCCTCTCTCTCCTCCTATTCTCTTTTTCCATATTTTTTCTTTCTCCCCTTACTCTCTCTCCTCCCAAATACACAGGAAATATATAGAGATAAATAAAAGTGTTGGGCGGTGAGAATTTATCGAGATGAGAGAGATAAGTAATTAGATAAACACGGAGAGAGAGAAGTGTTTGGATAAACATGAGAAAAAATAAGTGTTTAGATAAATATGAAAAGAGGGAGGTGTTCCGATAAACATTGGATGAAAGAGAGAGTAAATCAATAGAGAAGTTTGAGGTATAAATGAAGAGAGAGCGAGGATTGGGTTTAGAATGAGTACGTTTTTTTCACATTTGTTTAAGTTTAAAATGGTTAGGGGTTGGAATATATTTTTTGAAACATTGGATTTATTAAAAAAATAAAATATATAACCAGAGGGATATGGAGATATTTTCTCTTCATTTTATATAGGGAAATTTATCAAATTACTCGTGAGAAATGATCAATTTAATACCTTAACTATGCCTTTTATTTTAATTGCAAATATCTACTGAAAAATACATGATCTTGAATTTGAATTTCAAAATAGTTAATCTCTTACGAGTATTTTGATAAATTTTATTTTATACAGTAACATCGTAGAAACAATAAGTCCTTGGTATTGATTTTTAATGGTATAAATTTGAAAAAAAATTGAAAATCCATGTTTCAAGTTTAGATTTCATATGTTGATTACTTGTTCCCGTTAAATTAAAAAACATAATAAAAAAAAGTATTGGTGAGAAAATAAATAGTATTTGATGGCTTGGACTCTCAATTCACCTGTCTTTGAGGACTTATGACTCCAAACAAATCCTAAATCATTACAAATTAAATTTTATTGATCCACAAATTTTAAGTTCCAACACTAATACAGATCTAACAATCTTTAAGATTTAAGATGAACTACTAGAAAATTCAAAATTCTACTTTAAAATTCAATATATTTCTTTTAATTTTTTTTTTTTTAAGTTCATGCTTGAACTGATAGGCATGCAAATTTTTTAAAGCAAAAACATCAAGGACACATTGCCAAAAACAAATTTGAGAGGTTTAGTTGGGTCTGACTTCTAATCTAATGTGAATAAAGATATAAAGAGAGTCACACACAGGTTACTTTCCCATACCCGCAAGAGCTACCCAACGTCTAACTTAAGATAGTATTTCCACATAGATGGTAATCCATTTACTTTGTGAAAACAAATGTTGCAGCCTAATTGTGCATAATAACACTATGTTTGGCTGCCGCATGGCTCTGTCTAGAAATTTGTATTTACATAGCGGCTTAAAAGCTTTTTTTAAAGGAATTTTTTTTTATATAATGTCGTAATTTTATAGTATAGAAATAAGGTGCATCTCAAATATCCTATAAAAAATAGTTTTCTGAAGTTGGAAGACCTTCCAATTAATCATCTTGACCTCGAAATGTATAAACTTTTAAAAAGAAAAAGAAAGAATTTAAAGTCTTAAAAATAGTGCATATTGTAATAACTTATCTCGACTATCTATTTACAAGGTTTTTCAAATATTTATAGATTTGCTCGATTTGCGGCTTTTTTTTAATTTTAAATTTCATAATTAAAGTTGACTTAGATTTTCAAGCCATAATAAGATTTACAACACGAAAACTACATCTTCTGACAAAATTTAGAAGTACGGACACCTTTTACATACTTACCTTTTCACTTACAAAACGGTAACATCTAAATATGTGGGGGGAAATGTGGGTAGAAATGTAATTTGCAATGAGAACTCAATATGGCTCTCAGTGCATGCCCACAACATTGGACCATGCCCACAACATTGGACCATGTATTGGGGTGATGGCATCCAAACAAACCATAATCATCATAGTTTGCCATGATCTCATTAGGCATGTATCTACATCTAAATAATGGCAAAGTGTGACATCCAAAGATGCAACAAAAACACATATTGGCAATAACCTACATAGTGTGATCTTGATGGTGAAATCAAACTCGTTCGAAATAATTTAGTCATACTTTTAGTTCCAAAGGACCCTCTGCCCATCAAACAATGTTTGATAGAGAAACCAACTATTTTTAGTGAATCTAATAAAAAGAGACTCCTTACCGATAAGAGTCGTATTAGTTGTCTGGGTGAAGCCAAGGAGGTGAGATTTTGTATAAGGTGCCCACGGTGTATTGCACAAGTAAGGCGCACCAATAAATTTTGCAAGAATATGTACTTGAAAATTTATGTTCGACCCTAATTATGGAATTGTAAAATATAAAAATAATATAGATCGAGTAGATCTATAAACACTTGAAAATATTGATAATAGATGGTCTAGATAACTTGTTACATGATGTAATATTTTTAGGACTTGAAGTTCTTTTTGTTTATTTCTTCATCTATACATTTGAAGGTCGAGATGATCAATTGGAATGTTTTTCACCTTTAGAACACTCTTTTTTATGGGATTTTTTAGATGCATCTTACTTTTATAGTATAAGGATGCAACATTCTATAAACTTTTCCCTTCCATCTATTGTGTCATCCAAATCCAATAGTTGATTCAAGGCGGATGGGAATTTGTCAATGCCTGGATCTGAAGACCTCTTGGACTTGCCCAGTTTCTCTGATTTACTTTTCAACGTAAAATAATCGTGGAGAACTAGTGATCTAGATCAGGATCATCAAAGGCAGCTCGATTCCGTTGATAATTGACTTTGCCCATAGATTAAAATTTCAAAACACTGAATTTCCTGTCCAAACTGTTACTGCATATGAAAAAAATAAAAAAAGGATCATCATTTTTGGTTTCAAAAAGATAGCCCATTGTGTGTCCAATGTGCACAATAATAACACACATTTCTTAATTAAAGTTTTTAAGTGGTGATAAATAGGACAGACACTAGATCGATCGACAACACCTAAATTACATGATTTCCATAGTTTAGTCCACAAACAATCAACAAAACGTTAGGACTACCATGAAAAAGTTACCAAAATGATCATCGATTTATGGAGTGAAAGTCACTCAACTTCTTTTCGCTTACACCAGCCATCCAAATAAGGGAATTGCTGTTATGTGACCCCCACAACATATAAGTTACATGTGACTCCACTTCTTAGCATCTACGTAACCCCAAGGACATATAAGTTACATGTGACTCCACTTTTTAGCCGTTCAATCTGAATCGAATGGCTAAAATTGTTCATACCATAATGTCACGTTAAACACTATTTTATGTTTCATTTTTTTTTTTTACAAAACATTTTTGGATGAAATTTTAGGTGTCCCATTATAAAATTAGGGTGAACCTAGAAAAAATAAATACAAATATTTGATATAAAAATAAATGATTAAAAACACCTTACAATTTTCAGGGGTATTCTGATAATTTTTCATCACCATTTTTTTTTATCATGTGCACCCCTGTCAGATATATACATGTCCCAAATTTTGCTTCAAAATTATATATAGAATAAAATAAAATAAAAATTATAAGCCGTCTAATCAAGATCTTACGATTAAGAGCTAGCTTGTGACATTGTGACTCAAGCCATCTCAGCCATCTACTTAGATTTGATGGTCGAGACTAGGGGTCACTATACTATATACGTGGGTGGGTTCACATAGAGAGAGCTTACCCTCCAAATAAACATATTAAATAAATAGGGAAAATATATTCCTACCAGAGTAAACCGCACACTTACTCCCCTTGGTGGAAAAGCTACTTGTAAGATTTTTGTGATTTAAAACATTGGGATTCACCAATTACTTATTAGATGTTTATTTAAGAAAGAAGTATGTTCGAGTTCTTCAACAGTTAATCTTGCCTTTCAAAATTTGGATAGTCTCAATACAATCTTAGAACCTAAATTTTTTTCTGACACATTCAGAGCTTCATCTAATATTTTTTTTTATTTTTTAAATATGTTCAGTAAGACTATTTACTTTTGGTACAAAGAGGTCACAATCATCACTGAATATTGGATGTGAGATTGGGTGGTTGTAGATGTGTCGTTCACTGGTATGAAGTCTAAAATAAAATTCTCTGTTATGACACATTTCAACTATAATAGGTTAAAATTGACTGCAACCTCTTTATGCCAAAAAATTAATAATTTTGTCGTGGATTTTGTTAGGCTAACCCTTAAAGTCCTCAATATATTTGGACAAATACTCTTATCATATAGCGTAATAACTTTTTGTCGAAGAGTACTTAAAGTAATTAGTAAAAAGTAAAGCAGAAACTCTTAATAGAAACATAAATTATTTATTAACAGTAATGGAAAATAATATCACTGACATAATGTATGACATCACCCATTAATTGTTTTTTAACCACTAATAGAATATCATTATTTTATTATATAAATATTCATTATACCCTTCTAAATAAACAAAATATTCCTATTGGAAAAATTTTGTATTACAATTCAAGAGTATTTAAGTGTCCGAAGACTTTAAGGGAATACACCACAAATGATGTGGCTTAACCACACCATA